ATGCCTTACTATACTATGACATTTTTATGCCTTATTATACTATGACATTTTTATGACATTTTATGCCTTACTATACTATGACATTTTTATGCCTTATTATACTATGACATTTTTATGACATTTCATGCCTTATTATACTATGACGTTTTATGCCTTACAATACTATGACATTTTTTTGCCTTATTATACAATGACATTTTATGCCTTATTATACTATGAAATTTTTATGACATTTTATGTCTTATTATACTATGACATTTTTATGCCTTATTATACTATGACGTTTTTATGCCTTATTATACTATGACATTTTTATGACATTTTATGCCTTACTTTACTATGAGGTTTTATGACATTTTATGCCTTACTATACTATGACATTTTTATGACATTTTATGCCTTACTATACAATGACATTTTATGCCTTACTATACTATGACATTTTTATCTTACTTTACTATGAGGTTTTATGACATTTTATGCCTTACTATACTATGACATTTTTATGACATTTTATGCCTTACTATACAATGACATTTTATGCCTTACTATACTATGACATTTTTATGCCTTACTATACAATGACATTTTAAGGCATAAAAATATCAAAAAATGTCATAGTATAGTAAGGCATAAAAATGTCAAAAAATGTCATAGTATAGTAAGGCATAAAAATATCAAAAAACGTCATAGTATAGTAAGGCAGAAAAATGTCAAAAAATGTCATAGTATAGTAAGGCATAAAAGTATCAAGAATTGTCATAGTATAATAAGGCACATAAACGTCATAGTATAGTAAGGCAGAAAAATGTCATATAAATGTCGTAGTACAGTAAGGGATAAAAATATTTAAAAAATCTCATAGTACAGTAAGGCATAAAAATATCAAGAAATGTCATAGTATAATAAGGCATAAAAATATCATAGTATAGTAAGGCATAAAAAACATCATAGTATAGTAAGGCATAAAAACGTCATTGTATAGTAAGGCATAAAAACATCATAGTATAGTAAGGCATAAAAATGTCAAAAAATGTCATAGTATAGTAAGGCATAAAAATATAAAAAAATGTCATAGTATAGTAAGGCATAAAAATATCAAAAAATATCATAGTATAATAAGGCACAAAAATGTCATAGTATAGTAAGGCATAAAAATGTCAAAAAATGTCATAGTATAGTAAGGCATAAAAATATCAAAAAATGTCATAGTATAGTAAGGCATAAAAATATCAAAAAATATAGTATAATAAGTCATAAAATTATCATAGTACAGTAAGGCATAAAAATATCAAAAAATGTCATAGTATAATAAGGCACAAAATGTCATAAATACGTCATAGTATAATAAGACATTAAAATGTCATAGTATAGTAAGGCACAAAAATATCAAAAAATGTCATAGTATAGTAAGGCATAAAATGTCAAAAAATGTCATAGTATAGTAAGGCATAAAATGTCAAAAAATGTCATAGTATAGTAAGGCATAAAATGTCAAAAAATGTCATAGTATAGTAAGGCATAAAATGTCAAAAAATGTCATAGTATAGTAAGGCATAAAATGTCAAAAAATGTCATAGTATAGTAAGGCATAAAATGTCAAAAAATGTCATAGTATAGTAAGGCATAAAATGTCAAAAAATGTCATAGTATAGTAAGGCATAAAATGTCAAAAAATGTCATAGTATAGTAAGGCATAAAATGTCAAAAAATGTCATAGTATAGTAAGGCATAAAATGTCAAAAAATGTCATAGTATAGTAAGGCATAAAATGTCAAAAAATGTCATAGTATAGTAAGGCATAAAATGTCAAAAAATGTCATAGTATAGTAAGGCATAAAATGTCAAAAAATGTCATAGTATAGTAAGGCATAAAATGTCAAAAAATGTCATAGTATAGTAAGGCATAAAATGTCAAAAAATGTCATAGTATAGTAAGGCATAAAATGTCAAAAAATGTCATAGTATAGTAAGGCATAAAATGTCAAAAAATGTCATAGTATAGTAAGGCATAAAATGTCAAAAAATGTCATAGTATAGTAAGGCATAAAATGTCAAAAAATGTCATAGTATAGTAAGGCATAAAATGTCAAAAAATGTCATAGTATAGTAAGGCATAAAATGTCAAAAAATGTCATAGTATAGTAAGGCATAAAATGTCAAAAAATGTCATAGTATAGTAAGGCATAAAATGTCAAAAAATGTCATAGTATAGTAAGGCATAAAATGTCAAAAAATGTCATAGTATAGTAAGGCATAAAATGTCAAAAAATGTCATAGTATAGTAAGGCATAAAATGTCAAAAAATGTCATAGTATAGTAAGGCATAAAATGTCAAAAAATGTCATAGTATAGTAAGGCATAAAATGTCAAAAAATGTCATAGTATAGTAAGGCATAAAATGTCAAAAAATGTCATAGTATAGTAAGGCATAAAATGTCAAAAAATGTCATAGTATAGTAAGGCATAAAATGTCAAAAAATGTCATAGTATAGTAAGGCATAAAATGTCAAAAAATGTCATAGTATAGTAAGGCATAAAATGTCAAAAAATGTCATAGTATAGTAAGGCATAAAATGTCAAAAAATGTCATAGTATAGTAAGGCATAAAATGTCAAAAAATGTCATAGTATAGTAAGGCATAAAATGTCAAAAAATGTCATAGTATAGTAAGGCATAAAATGTCAAAAAATGTCATAGTATAGTAAGGCATAAAATGTCAAAAAATGTCATAGTATAGTAAGGCATAAAATGTCAAAAAATGTCATAGTATAGTAAGGCATAAAATGTCAAAAAATGTCATAGTATAGTAAGGCATAAAATGTCAAAAAATGTCATAGTATAGTAAGGCATAAAATGTCAAAAAATGTCATAGTATAGTAAGGCATAAAATGTCAAAAAATGTCATAGTATAGTAAGGCATAAAATGTCAAAAAATGTCATAGTATAGTAAGGCATAAAATGTCAAAAAATGTCATAGTATAGTAAGGCATAAAATGTCAAAAAATGTCATAGTATAGTAAGGCATAAAATGTCAAAAAATGTCATAGTATAGTAAGGCATAAAAATATCAAAAAATGTCATAGTATAATAAGGCACAAAATGTCATAAATACGTCATAGTATAATAAGACATTAAAATGTCATAGTATAGTAAGGCACAAAAATATCAAAAAATGTCATAGTATAGTAAGGCATAAAATCGTCATAGTATAGTAAGGCATAAAAATATCAAAAAATGTCATAGTATAATAAGGCACAAAATGTCATAAATACGTCATAGTATAATAAGACATTAAAATGTCATAGTATAGTAAGGCACAAAAATATCAAAAAATGTCATAGTATAGTAAGGCATGAAAACGTCAAAAAAAGTCATGGTACAGTAAGGCATAAAAATATCAAAAAAATATAGTATAGTAAGGAATAGAAACATCTAAAAACATCATAGTATAATAAGGCATAAAATTGTCTTAGTACAGTAAGGCATAAAAACATCAAAAAAAGTCATAGTATAGTAAGGCATAAAAATGTCATAGTATAGTAAGGCATAAAAATGTCAGTACAAAAAGGCATAAAAATATTTTATAATTTCATAGTATAATAAGGCACATAAAGGTCATAGTATAGTAAGGCATAAAAATATCATAGTATAGTAAAGCACAAAACGTCATAAAAATATTATAGTATAGAAAAGCATAAAAATATCATAAAGTGCCTTACTATAACTTTTTCTTATGACTCATTCATGGGGCGGCACGGTGGTAAAGTGGTTAGGCACAAAAAGTCATAATATAGTAAAACATTAGAGTCGCCAAGTAACCTAATTCACATGTCTGTGGACTGCAGGAGGCAGCCGGAGTACCTGGAGAGAACCCACATGGGCACAGGGAGAACATGTAAACTCCACACAGAAAGGCCGCTGGCCCAGGGTTCAAACCAACATTCTCACTGTTCATTGTTTAAGACATAAAAACATCATGGAGTCACCAATTAACCCAATTTGCATGTCTTTAGACTGTGGGAGGAATACCTAGGGATATGAGTTTCTATGCTGTAGTATACTAAGACTTTTGTTATGACTTACAATACTATACACCTATAATTTAAACATACATTTCTATCTTTTATATTTACATATATAATATGAACAAATACTGACAGGCTTTGGGATGGGTATATATTTATGTAACAAAAGTTTATATTATAAACATAGAATAAAATAAAATATTAAAATATTTCCATTAGCTAGACATACAGTATATGTTGATACACACACACACACACACACATACACACACACACACACACACACACAAAGTGACTCACCTGCCCTTTGCGTCCTTGCAGCCAGCGATGTCTGATCCCATCGCCTCCAGCAGCAGAGATGCACAGGACTCGTGATCATTCACCCTGTTCATTCAAACACAAACAGGACGTCACTGATGTCGACTCGTTCAGATCCGACAGTAACAAATGTCTCACCTCTCCTCATTAGTTTTGAAAACAGCAGTGAAGAAAACCTGCAGTAAAAACTGAAGACACTGAAAATGAATAACACTTTAAATAAGTGACTTACACAGCACAGTGCAGAGGGGTGAAGGGGTTCCCGTCAATACAGCGACAACCTTTCTGCTCCAGCAGGACCTCGACACACCCCTCCTGACCTAGAGACACAAAAACACACACACACAGAATCACCAACTGGTATTTAACTCAAGTTAAGTCACGTCTTTATACCAGGCACTGTAAAGTGTATTGTTCTGTAAAATAATAATAAAAAAATTAAATAAAAAGTAAAAATAAATAAATAAATAAATCATGTTCAGACTGAGTTTATCTCTGAGTGTGTGTCAGGGTGTATGTACCATAGTAACAGGCCCAGTGCAGCGGTGTGTATCCGCTTTGGTCCCTCAGCGGCGGCAGGGATGGCGGCTCAGAGCAGGCGATGCTCAGCAGCTCGCTCAGCCAGGAGGCGTGGCCTCGGGCAGCAGCCAGGTGGATGGCCGTACGACCCCGAGAGTCGCCGAGCAAAACCGAGGCTTCCTGCTCCAACAGACACTGAATACACTCCTCCTGACCACACAGCAGCTGGAGAGACGAAGGCGTCACTAATTAACTGCAACTCGTGTATGTTACTTAATTATCAACCTTTTTTATTATTCCATGGACACACTTGCTCCACAGACTTGGGCCAATAACCTTCAATTCAAAGACATCAAGTCTATACTTGTACAATTTCCATAAAAGCAGTACAGAGAAAACCAGCCTCATGCTCACCCCGAGGTGCAGCGCAGTGAGGCCGTGGTTATCGGCCATGTTGACGTTGGCTTCCCTCTCCAGCAGCAGCGACACGGCGTCGACGTGACCTCCAGCCACCGCCAGCATCAGAGGAGTCCTGCGGGCGAGGACAAGGCCGTCAGTGTGAGACAGACGAGACAGGAAGTGAAACAGAGAGGAAAGAGATGATCACTCACTGTCCCTGAGAGTCAGCAGCGTCCACGAGATCTGCAGCCTCTGATTCATCCAGCAGGAGGCGCACACACGTCGTATGACCGTTCATCACTGCAGGCAGAGAGAGAGAGAGAGAGAGAGAGAGAGAGAGAGAGAGAGCAAGAAACAGGGGAGTGATAGAAATGTTTATTAATAGTCGGTGCGATGACACATCGGTTCAGTGAGATTAGATGATGATGATGATTCTGGTGTCACCGCAGCAGAAAGTGGAAAATAAAAACACACATCTTCACCAGCTAACCAGCTCTGATTCACTGATACGAGCAGGAATCAATTATGTCAAAAAGCAAGTTGGTTTCTAGTCCAACTGAAATCACACTTAGTCAAACATAACGTCAAAGTGTTTAATAGTTTATTATATATATTTATTATAAATAAGGGAAACAGCTGCATCTCATGGACCGACACTGTGTTGTTAGTGGCCTTTAATGATCCGCTCCTCAACCACTTTCAGTGTATTTGATTGAGGGGCAAAGGTTACCTGAAGCTATAATCTGAGTCAGACAGGTGAGTGAGCATCTCCCAACGTTACAGTCCTATTCTTTAAGACTGTAATGTTAAGAGATAAATAACCCCTGGTGTCATCTTGAAACAGGAAAGGCGCCCTCCTCAAACACAGTTGGAAGCACTATAGTGTCAAATATTGTCTGTTGTTGCATTAAGATTTCACTTGATGGAAAACGAAGAGGCCTAAACCTGAGTCCATACGTGTCCGCATACTTTTGGCCATATCCACCCAGACATGTGTTGATACCAGATGTTTACAGCGTCAGAGAAACAGAAACCTGAACTCACCTGCCAGGTGCACGGGGGTGCGTCCGTGCTGCGTGTCGGTGGAGCGCGACGACGCCCCCTGGCTGAGGAGGGTGTGAACACAGTCAGCGTGGCCCCGAAGCGCAGCCAGAGCCAGGGGGGTCCTCCCCACCTCGTCCCCCTGGTCCACCTCCCTCTCCCCCTGCAGCAGCACCTCCAGGGCCTGAGCGTGGCCGTGGTACGCCTGCACAAAGACACAGAGACGCTTTATTCAAATATGTAAATATTTACCTCCTGTCACATCGGGGTTGCCCAGGAAACAAAAAGGAAGATTGTTTATTTTACCTGTTTTAATATCAATTCTTGTTTCTTGTGTTAAAATTGATTTTCCTTTTGTTTTTATGTTTATAATGAATTATGTAAAGAACTTTGTGGATGAAATGTGCAACGCAAATAGCAAAATAAAAACTCCTGAACACCCTTTTTTTCTGAAATAAAACAAAAAAAAAGAAAGAAAAAAGTTCATATTTAGAGAAAAGTTTGTGTTTTGGTTCCAAAACTCAGGTGTGTGAGACTCACAGCGAGATGCAGCGGGCTTCTGGCGTTCGGAGATTCAGGGTCGTCATGGTGACAGTCGTCTCTGTGCAGCAGCTGCAGGGTCACAACAAAACACATTGGCGCATTTTTAATCCGAGAGCCTGAACCTGCAGCCTGCTCATAATAAACCTAAAATCAGGCAGTTCCTTTAGTTTCATCTATTGTTGTTGTCATCATTTGTGTATTAGAGCTGCCGTATGTCAGCACGTCTAAAATGAGATACACAAAATAAATGAAAAAGAAAAGAGAAGACGCAGAACATGAAAATCTGAAACTCTGTTTTAAGGAAAGAGAGAAGAGAATGACGATGAAGATTAGGTGACAAGAGGAAGAGATATCACTCACTTTAAAGCAGAAATAACTTAAGAACATGAGTGTTAATGATAAAAATAGAGACTTAAAAATGAACAAAAACAGTAAAAGCTTAAATAAAACATGTAGTTTCATTTCGTCCTGCAGGTTCTGGAGCTTGTTAACCGGCTGTTAACCCTCGTCACTCATTCATCTGCGGTCATTCCTGCTTCAGGGAAACGCCTCCTCAGATTAAAGAGGTTTGTAAACTGGATTTTATTCTCATTTCTTTGCCTTTAGATGATTTTGGGAAAACGAGGCCCTGGAATGTCTTTGCGTGCTGCTGCAGTGAAAATATGATCCGACAACAGATGGAGAAAACGCCTGCAGCTACAGCTACTACTCCAACAACACAACTATTTCCTCCATGTGGCCTTAAGGTCTCACAGCGAGCACACTGACCAGCTCCAGACAGTGCCTGTGTCCGTAGGCGGCGGCGTAGTGGACGGGACTGTAGCCCTGTTTGTCCTTCAGCGACGCCGTCGCTCCGCTCTGAAGCAGAAACTCCAAACATCTGGAACAACAAACAACAAACGCAACGTCTCAGTCATCGTTTAAGACGGCTGCTCACAGCTGACATGAACAGGAGCTGAAGTGTGGAGACAGTGAAACATCTGGGTATTGTAGTTTTCAGCCAATGATACTCAAACAGGAAACTGTGAATTTATTGGGGACTATTTTCAGCAGCGGATTAATCCACCTTCAGTGTCGTAGTGAGTATTCGGGATCATTCTGAGGTTCTCTTTTTTAAAGCTGTGAGCAGCTCCTGGTTTTCCTCTTTGCACTGCATTGTGGGAGGATAGTGTCCGTAAAATTATTATTTTATATGATTATTTTTCATCTTTACATAGTGAAAGGTGAAAAGTAAAATAACACGCTCTGAGATTTGTCAGCTGCTGTTCTACAACTGATCTCGGTGTATAAACTGAATATTTCAGAGCAGCTCCTCAGAGGGTTTAAATAATTAATTAAGTCATCCAGCTGTGCCAGCTGTGTGTAATACTACGCAGGGTTTTGGAGAGGCGTGAGTGTGTCTGCGTCATCGAGTCAGTCTGAGAAAGAGGAAACACGAGTGGAAATAAGTTGTTGAAATGGTGTGGAGTGTTTCTGCTGCACAATCCGCACGTGTCACTGTGTTTCCATTTATTTATCTACATTCATTTATTTATTTATTTAGTTCCTCGTTGTGCGTCTCCGCGGGTTTTCCATGAACAGTCGGTTCTGATGCTGAACTCTGCTGCAGGTTCACGGCAGGTTATTTTTGTTATCTATCAATCTGACGATTATTTTCTTGACTAATTGTTTTATCCATAAAATGTATCAATTATCAAAATAGTATACAGTATATATACTCATCAATAATCAAAATAAGATTCATTGTTTGTCAATCTACTACTTCAATATTTTCCTCTTTATTTATCTGTTTGTTTTCTCTTGAAGTAACTGACACTTTATGAAATCTACTTAATAGGAATTCTTGTAAAGGAGAGTGATGTTTGTTTCTCAGTAGAAACAATAAAAATCAAGTGTTTTTATTTGGTCACTTTTCATGTGTTTAGTTGATGCTCAGCAGCTGTTTAACAGCTGTGTGGAGTGATACTACGCTCCGGTCACAGTGTCATAAATCTCTTCATGTTTCTGTCGGTGTGGACTCACAGCGCTGCCTCTTTCTCTCTCTCCGCCTGAACTCCTTCACTCTCCGGCTCCAGAGCAACACGACGCCTGTGAGGGGAGGTGGACCAGGGAGGGAGGAGAGGGAGGAGAGGGAGGGAGGGAGGAGAGGGAGGGTGAGATAAAAGAGGATAAAAATATTAACAAACACAAACAACAGCGTCTTTTGTGCAGCGGTGCCTCCAAATACCAACAAGTTGAGTGGATAACACGATGCTGCATCATGATCTGCGGAGATGTCGAACCCTGGAGGCTGTGAATGAGTACCATCACCTCAGTGTCACCCCCGGTTACCACGGAAACAGCGAGGTGTGATCCAACAGGTTTCTATATGTGGCAACAGTAGACAGCTACCCAGGAGCAGGTTTCCAGTTTCTGTCCTCGGGTTGTTAAAGTACTTGAACTTAACTTGAGTATTTTCCTTTTCCTGCTACTTTATACTTAAAAATAATATCGTACTTTCTTTTCCAGTACAGCTAAAAGCAGTCGGGGTCACGTGTCTCGTTTCAGAAATGAGTCGTTAGCAGTTCGACTGAAGACACATCTCACATGTTTTCATTTAAAATGTTTGAGGCTCAAACTTTTTTTTTTTCTTTCTCATTAATCATCTCCGACTCATCAGGTGACTCTTCTGTAGGTTGGAAACAGGAATATGTATTATATCCTCTTTAAGTGAAGGATGTGAACACTTCTTCCACCACTGTGTGTCTCCCTGCCCCTCACCTCCTGTCCAGGTCTGAGGCAGCAGCGTAGTGCAGGGGAGAGCGCCCCCACTGGTCGGTGGCGTTGATGGCGGTGCCACAAGCCACCAGAGTCTCCAGACACTGATAGTGACGGCTGGCGGCCGCGTAGTGGAGGGGAGTCCTGGGAAATAAGAGAGAGAGAGAGAGGAAGTCAGACTAACAGATGACCAGGAAAACATTAACTTTAACTCCCTATGTGACGGTTCAACATGTCAACCCAAAACCACGGGCATTAATCCGCTGCTGAAACAGCCTCAACTCCAAAGTCTTCAAGTTCATTTACTGAAATCTTAAATATTTTTTCTTTTTTTCAGTTTTTTCTGTAAAAAGAAATTCACAGATATTTCATTTAATGTCGTTTGTGACCAAAAAAAAGCATCAAATCTTTACATTTTGTAGCTAAAACGACCAAATGTTTGACCTTTTTGCTTGAAAAATGACTGAAATTATTAATTATTCTGATTGGTTAATCCATTCATCCATTCAGCTGCATATCCAGGTCCAGGTCACACTGATTTGATTTATTATATTATTAGAATTTATTGTTATATGCAGCTGAGAAGCATTTAAATATGTGATACAATAATAAATACTTGTAGTTCATATCGTCTCTGCTGGTTTTCCATCACACTTTAATTATTATTATTAATACTCGGGCTGGTATGAAGGTGAAACTGATTTTAAATCTTATTCTATCTGGTATTTAAAAAGTCTTACAAGGTCTTATATTGAACCTGGTGAACCCTGAAGAATCCCTGTGTATTGAAAATGGATTGATCACATGTGGCAAACACCCAACACGTTGTTAAGATCATTATCAATCCAGGCTAATAGCAATGTGAACTAACCTGTAACAGGTATGCTGTGCTACATACCGGTGTGCTGAGTCATGCAAAACGACACATGTAACTGCTCAATAACTATTGAACAGAAATGTCAAACACACACCCTTATACCTACACACACTATGAAGTAGTTGTAAGAAGATACAGGACATTTTTTTAGCGTCTATTAACGGACAGTGTTTGTCAACGGTTGGAACTTTTGCTGCAGAAATATTTTTATGTTATTACAACAGTGTTTCCCTGTATTGTCATTCATTGTCTGTTTATACAGGAGCTTCCACTTATGGGTGTTTCACAGGAGGAGTTATAATTGGTAACATATACTAATAATAAATAAAACTAATACCTAAAAAATATATACAAAATATAACACTATCTTCTTACAGCTACATTATAGTGGGTTATAAACCATTTATTAAATGTTTATATACTGCTTATAAATGCTAAACAGTAAGGCTTAAAGTAGATTGTTGCCATTTAATCTATAAAATGTCAGAAAAGCGTGAAAAATATACCCAAATCAATTTCCAGATCACATGACGATCCCTTTAAATGACTCAAAATGATCCAATTACAATTGTCCGATTACATAAAACTGCAAAAATAAGCAAATCCTCAATTTGAGATTCTTCATGGCTTGAAACACTTTAAAATTATTCAATTATCCAAATTAGTGTCTGTTATGAACGAAAGCGTTACCTGGACAGCAAAGTATTGTCTTACCTGCCGCAGTTGTCTCTCCTGTTGTGGTCTCCTCCACTGCTCAGGAGCAACTTGACACACTCCACATTACTGCACACAGAGAGCAAGGACACACTCAGACACTGTATATTATTATATACCTTATATTATATTATATATAATACTATATATTATATATATTTTTCAAATTATGGCTTTAAAAAAGGACAAAACAACAGAATTTGATCCTTAATAACCCAAAGGAAATCACTAAATTGTACTTTGGTGTTTTGATATAGGTGTTTCTTATTTAATTAGTGGTGGTGTAATTTTGGATTTCAGGATTTTAGAGTGGTTGTATTTACTACAACTATATGTCCTATGATGATGGTTGGTGCTCACCCTCCGGCGGCAGCAGCGTGCAGGCAGGTCCTCCCCAGAGTGTCAGGGGTGTCTATCTGGAAGCCTGCAGACAGGACCGAGTCGTTACACATTATGCTAAACCTCCGACCTGACGAGGGCGGCGCAGGGAGACGGAGGGAGGCCAGACAACAGAGGAGCAGCAGCCACCACAGAGAGAGAGAGAGAGACAGCGAGAGGAGGGAGTGAAGAGAAAGACAGGTGTTAGTGCGACAGGTGAGGGTGGGGGACAGAGAAGGTTAGGTGATGCTGGTGCATGATGCTGGCCATGCATACACAGGTAGACGAATAAACAGCTGGAAACTAAATGTTACAGACAGAAGGACACGTCATCATAGAGACACTCAGTGCAGCAAGCAGCTCAGCTTGAATTCACATTCAGACATTGTTGCAGAGTTTTCCAGGAACCCTTGAAAGTTTTTAAGAATTTAGGAACTGTACCTGCAAGAACTACAGGTGTGCCACACCGTGTTGTTCGTATCATACCAGGATCATTTTTAATGTTTTTAATGTAAAATTTGCCACATCATAGAGAATATTCTTTTTATGATGGTATTTGCTGTAATTGTTTTAATTGCTCTTATTTATTTTATGTAATGGATTTTATTACTTTTATTCTTTACACACATTTAATCAAGATTCAGGTAAATATAATTATGAAGATTGGACCCGTTATTGGCAGATACCCCAAATTAATGTTCACCCCATCATTAGACAGATTAACAGCAACAGCTAAGAATATCTAAATTAGTTTAAAGTTATACTATTAATGATTTTGTAGCTGTAATAATTATTCTTTGAAGTTGGCTAATACACTGCTCACTACTACCACTACAAGTGTGCCTTATTAGCTATTAGCAGGTCCTATTTGCTCATGCTTCGCACATGCTCAGAATGGGATTAAAATCAATAACAGGTCATGTTAAAATAACTCTTCCCCTGATGAAATAAATCCAGTCTGACTTTGGCTTTCTAGCTGTTTGAATGGCCGGGATACAGATACAGTTTTTGATGGCCTCTATCTTTTGTTCCTACGAGGGTGTGTGCAGTTGTTGTACGTCTCTTTGGATGAAAGCATGAACTAAATTAATGTGTTGTAACAGTCACACAAGAGTAAATCACAAAACAACAACAACGACGTCTGTGCTGTTGTTCTGCGCCGTGGCTTTTTAATCCTTCATCGTTACAATTTGCCTAATTCTTCACGGCTCTTCAAAAAAAAAAAAGAAAAGAAGGGACTTTCAGCTCCTGATTTACCAACAGATACAAAAGCCTCGGTCCGCTACTGCTCACAAACAGCCCTGACCAGACGCAACACTGCAGCTGCACAAGGCTCAAGCACATGTAAATGACTTCTTTGTTGTTCGCAACAGCAACTCGGCGGAGCCACATGTGGAGCCCAGTTTCATCCTCCTCCATGCCTCCAGACACAAGTGCCAGGGCCTCGTTAAATTGTCAAAAGGGATCTGGAGCCAGAGAGGACTGTTGTCTTTTTCCCTACTTCACATTTGTTTAATATACCGGCCTTCCCTCTTCTGCACTGGAAAACCCTCTTTAAAAACCCAACAATATATATGTGGGATGAGCGGAAAGACAAATGATTTCATTGCCAAAAGCAACAAGGAAACTTTTCAGATGTAAACAAGATCTTAACTACCAGTGTCAATGCTCTAAGAGGAGGACTCAACAGAATACACTCTTGTCCAGAGGGAGAGTGGTCCCATCAGCGAGTAATTAGACTCAGTGAGGCCTTGTCTGTTTCTGGAACATTGTGACTTGAGTTTGGCCCGAGTTGAATACGTGTGCTTGTGGAGGAATTCACCAGTGGGAGCAAGACAAACAACCGGGCTCAAACCTCCCTGAAAATTACATTCGAAAGATGATGTTAAGGCGAAACAGACTCTGAATCAGCAAATATCCAGGGCAATATCCACATGGTGGAAATGCTAATTCAAGTGCTGTCAGAAATATCAGCCAAGTTGGAATTTTAAGTAAGAAACCCACTGCGTTTAAATTAGTTAATGTTTTAGAAGCACGGCAGTTTCAATTTGATTTACTCACAAAACACTTTGCGGACAAAAACGACACTAGCTAGCTAGCTAATTAAGCTAATGTAAGTTGGTGAAAACATCTCTGGGTGACTCATATTAAAATGTAAATTATCTCTTAAATATGCACATGCAGGTCACATACAGTATAGTTAGCTACATGACGAGGCTAATGCTACATTTTTTAGGCATAACGTTAGCATCCCCAACAGCTCACAATCCATGTAGCTACACAACAACCTTACCATAGAAATTATTATAGCATCAATGTTTGAATGTTCAGTTTTTTCAGGGGAAAGGGGGCAATTCATAATAAAACCTATAAAATGCGTAAAAACCAAACTGCAGTGATGGCGAGTTTAAGCTAGCTGGTAAAATAGCCTTAGCTACTTTTTAGCGTATTTCCTGGAATTGAAAAATCTATTTTGATCTAACCTTCTAACACATCTAACAAGTTAGCAACTGCCTTTTTTAAGACACGTAAAAATCACAAGTGTGGTATTTACTGACGTATTTTATGTCGTAGAATAAAATTTTAAATATCTTGAGCTTGTGTTAACCAGACCTTACGTCACGCATCTAATAAAAAACCCATTTAAAAAAACCCATCAACATCAGGACGAGGGAAACCGAAGTGAAAAAAATGCTAACTTATTTTAACACACTATGAACAGCAGGAGTTGCTACCTCTTAGCTTTAGAAGTGAAGTAAAATTACTACTGTTAGTGGTGAGCTAGTTAGACAGACAAGCTAACAATTGTAGCTTGCATTACAGCAGATAAACAAGGTGTTTAATCCACTCCTTACACTTAAAAACACGTCATTATAGGCAATACAATTCAGCTTCTAAAATAATCATCATCAAATCATCTCCTCTATAAAACAGTTTCAACAAAAACTGAAGGTATCAAAGACAATAAAGGTCAGTACTCTTTTAAGTTAAGGTGTGAATACAAAGAATAAGATGACATAATTTCCAAACCAACACCCTTGATTTATAGCAACCTGGATTAGGAAACTAAATTTACTTTCTACTTCACGATTCACTTTGTGTGCTACCTGAGGACAGCAGCTTCCGGCAGCAGTCGGAGTGAGCGTTCAAAGCAGCCAGGTGGAGAGGGAACATGCCGTGGACTCCTCGCCTTCGGAGAAAAGAAAGTACAGTTTTTTACTAAATGCCTTTTCATTGCAGTAACTTACGGTACAAACTCAACAGGTGAGAAAAACGAACCTTGTGCAGTCTGCCCCACTGGTGATGAGCGTGTTGATGAGGAGTTCATGACCATAGCGGGCAGCAATGTGAAGAGGGGTGTTACCATCTTTGTCCACACTGTCGATCTCCCCACCTGAAATTAAAATGTTGATTCAAAGGGGAGAAAATGCAACAAGGTGTAAATTTAGGAGATCAAGCGTAACGAGGTTTCACCGTTCTGGATGAGGGTCTGGGAGCGAGTGAAGCGTCCGTGAACCGCCGTCATGTGAAGAGGACTCTTCCCGTCCCGACTCTGAAGACGGTGGAGGAGAAATAAAACAGGTGAGCCAGGGAAGTGTAAGGCTGCAACTGACATTAGGTGAGAATTATTTTCTTTTTTGAGTTATTTTTTGGGCAGTTTTTATGCCTTTATGTGATAGGGACAGTGGAGAGGGACAGGAAATACCAGGAGTTGAACCGGGGACCTGCTGCTCAGGGCTCAGTATGTCCATATGGTATGATATTTTCTTTAATAATCGATTGCTTGTTCAGTAAATAAAATGTCAGAACATAATGAAAATGCCCTCATTATTCCCTGAAGTCCGATTTAACCTATTTAAATTACTTTTCTTCAGTCTGATCAACAGTCAAACCCCAAACATGTTGAGTTTACTATCAGAGAAAACTGGGAAACAAGCAAATATCCAGATTTTAGAAGCTGGTACCAGTGATTTTTATTTGGCTTTTTTTGCTTTAAAATAAAAGACTAAACAATTAATCAATTAGCAAAATTGTTTCCAATTAATTTCTTGTCAACCGACTAATCATTCCAGCTGTGCACTGAGTACTGGTTGGTTCCTGGGATGCTTGGGGAACTAATCAAACTGCCATGTACAGTTGGGGACAACAGTGGCACAACAACGAATTTTTGCCTCGGGGTCCTGCAGGAGATTAATCCGGCCATGTCTGTGGTCCATTTAAACATCAATATATTTTACACTGGACCAAAGTGTTGGGCTAACAGCAGAGAGATGAATGAAGAGCTTCCTACAGGGATGCAGTCGTGTGTCGCGTATCCCCTGTAACGACATCCAGGAGGTCTGATACCAGCGTACCTGTACGTTGACGTCAGCCCCGTTGTTGACCAAGAACTCCAGGCAGAGCGCTCCGTGTGTGGAGGCAGCAGCAAAGTGCAGCGGGGTGAAGCCCTTGTTGTTGGGCTGGCTGACGTTGGCGCCGTAATCGATCAGCTCGCTGACGACGGCGTCCTGACCGTTAAAACAGGCCACGTGGAGCGCCGTGTTCCCGAACGCATTGGACTCGTCTATCTGTTGTCAGGGAAAACAAGACCTGGTATTATGGCCGAGGAAAAGCTGTTTGTATCAGCGTTGTTATGAATGAATCAGCAGGAATGAGACAATGAGCGAATGTGTGCATGTACTTTTGTGTGTTTGTGTGTGTGTCCATCTTGTGAATGAGTGCACAATAAGTGCTATTGTGTTCGTCAAACAGGGAGTATGAGTTATTTTCCTGAAGTGTGAAGCAAAGTGAGACTGTGAATAAGTGCGTGTGTCTTTGGGGGAGGGGGCCGGTCTTGTACATCTATCTCTGTTGGGACCAATTTGAATACAGACGGTGGGAGAGAGGACACATTTCTGTAAAGTGAGAACATTTAAGCCTGTCCTCACTTTAGGACAGACTTTAGGGAATGAATTATGTCAACAAGGGTCCTCACAAGTATAAAAAGACAAACATGTGTCATGTATGTGTGTGGTGTGTCCTGACCTCCACAGCCAGGTTGAGCAGGTGTTTGACCACAGCAATCTGTCCGCTGGAGGCCGCCGTGTGGAGGGGAGTGTATCCCCGTTTGTCTTTACAGCTGATCTCCGCCCCCTGACTCACCAGCAGACAAACCACATCCAGATGACCTGCAGGGGGCGCACCAGAGAGCAGTTCACAAACCATGGGAGAAAAGAAAGACTCAGGCTGTTTGACGGACAAAATCATGTTTCTGCCTTATGTTACAGACAGAAATAAAAACCTGTGTTTGTACTTCAATCACGAATCATGATGGAGATAATTTCGAACAGTTCACTTGATTGATTTATTGGCATATTGGCATATATTTTTAGCTAATCTTAGCACACCACCAAAAGAGTATACTGCTTTGGTTTATGTCAGTGCTCAAACTAACAACTTTTTTCACTCTGAACAGCTCTTTAATAAAAATTTTGACATTTTGCTGAAAAAAAAAAAGAAGTCACAGAAGATTAAAACTAAAGACTCTTAAGGCTAAAATGAAAAATGTCAGTCACAATTAAATTAAAGTCGAAGTTAATGGCATTAGATTGTTTGTTTAGTGTCAGACAAAAACAAAAAAGCAGCTAATTCTTACATTGAATATTGAAATATTACTTAAGCTATTAACTATCAAAATTGGTGCCAATTAGTTTTCTGTTGATTATTCATTTCAGTTGTTTTATGGGCAGAATGTTTATATATATATTTGAAACTTTTATTTATAATTCAATTATTTTTGTTATTTCGGTGTGGTTATTTAAGGTGATTGTGTTTAATAATTTAATTTACCCAAGTTACTCAACTTTGTTTGCTTTAGTCTTTGTATGTACTTAACGCCCGTTTCATTCTGTCATGTTAAATTATGACTATCACCTCCTGTGTTATGTTCTGTCTTATTTCATTTGGTGTAAAAAAACAAAACAAAAAAAAAAACCTCACACCACTCAAGCGCTAATGAATAGGTTCTTCTGGTATTAGGTGACTCAGAATGAGCCACTGATTCATTTTCCCCAACACATCTGCTTCCAGGAAATAAAAGGCATGATGTGTGATATGCTTTTAACCAACTCAAGTCTTTGTCTCGTACCCATGAAAGCTGCCCAGTGCAGCGCCCGGCCGTCCTTCTTATCAAAGGCATTGATGTTGGCTCCTTTAGTGAGGAGGAGGTTTACCATCTGACACAGAGAGACAGAGAGAGAGGGGGGAGGTAATATAAGAGATATATATTAGTGTTTGAATGTTTATATGTGTGCAGAAGACATAGTATGTGTGAGCATAAAGATAAATGCGAGGATGTTTGTGCGTGGGGGTGATGGTCTTTATATAACAGCATTGTAAATACGTCTCATCACTTGGCTCCGTTCTTGCATAAACACTCTGGAGAGACTGTCAGGCCAAAATAGAGGAGCTGTCCATTCAGCTCGGCTTTAGAAAATCTGCCGCCTCTCATTGTTAATTTTAGATTCAGCACATTTGTGAATGATACTATCTAAGACGAGGAGCGTTTCAAAATGAACAGCCCACTTAATAACCCCGGTGATACAGCTGCACTCGCCCACCTGTTTCCTTCAACACGAGCCACTCAACCGAAATAACACAAAGGACGGTTACATCACAGCCTGTTTATTGGTGAGATGCACCAATATGAGAGCAAAGAGAGAGGACACCGTGCTGAAGGAAATGATGCAAATCATTTCCTTTTACTGACAAAAACACTGGATGTCGGGAGTTGGGCCGCAGTACCTCGGTGTGGCCGTTGAGGGCAGCGTGGTGCAGGGCGGTGCGTCCGCCGCGGTCCGACACGTTGACACTACTCAGCAGCGGGATGATGACCTCGGCGCATCGCAGCGCGTTATTGGCCGCAGCGACGTGCAGCGGCGTCTGCCAGTTCTTGTCTCGGGCGTTCACGTCAGCCGAGTGGCGGATCAGAACTCGCACCGCCTCCTGAGGAAGACAGTCAGAGAGAGGGTGTGTTTTTATAGATAAATAACTTATGTGCTATTTTCATTTTCAGATCTTTGTATTGATAAATACATTCTTGTATTCAGAGAACTAATGACAACATTATATGTATGATGGGTTACAGGGACCTCGTCTCCTTCAGTATCACAACGTTGCTAACTGTCACACTTCTTACTCCTTAAGAGAGGAGGCTCTGAGCCTCTCTTCTGATTGGCTGAGTGTTTTCTGAGTTATCAAATCAAAATATAGCAGATTTCGGGTAAAACACTCCAAATCCTGCAAGTTTGGATGGTGGGTCCAGGTGGGCGGGGCTTGGTGACTGCTTTGTTGTGACATCACAAAGTTCCAGAAGTCCTGACGGCTGGTTTTAAGGCTCAGTTTCTGAATACAGGCTGTGTGCATTTCTCTGTGGACTGAGGCTTTGATACTTTCACAGTATTAATATAGAAGCTAGACCTGATCTATAATCACACTACACATGGACACAGACCTTTACACTGGAGGAGACCTTTAAATTATTTATATCTTCAGATGTTGCCATCGTTTTGCCTATAGTTTGTACATATGCACATTTACTTTGGTGAAAAGATGCTACAGGGAGTCTTTACATTTGCTAAACAATGAAAATCACAGTAATGTAAATGAATGAATTGCAGACACAGCCTTAGACTATAATCACCCATTCACAACAACATTCCTTCACATATAAGACCCTGCATGTACTGTATATAAAACCTTGGCCACACCACTATAATTCCTCCTCCAGTTACTCAGCCATGTTGAATTACCTGTTTGGACCCCCGGAGTGATGTTGCTGAATAATTGCTTTGACCCGCATTCATGAAGCTCACAAAGACAATGATGTCCTACGTAGTCTGAGAACAGTATGTAGAAGAGCAGGGAGGGAGAGGCTGCTAAAAAATGATGACTGTGTGTTGTCTGTCTGTTTTCAGGTAAACATCGCAATCTCCTTGACACCTGTGTCCCAGTGAGGATCTCTCATTGCGCTGCTTGAGCTGCTGTTGTTTTGGGAGGAAGAAAGGATTGGACACAGTCGGTGTGTGTGTGTGTGTGTGTGTGTGTGTGTGTGTGTGTGTGTGTGTGTGTGTTCTCACTTCGCTGCGAGATGCCACGGCGCGATGGAGAGGGGTGAGCCACATATTATCTTTGGCGTTGACCCGTGCCCCTGCAGAGTGGAAAGAGGAGGGATAAACATGGCTGAAAGAATGTTTTAACGCCAAAGAGAGTGAAAACAACTGAAAAACACCAACATGTTGACATATTAGACGGTCTGTTTTAAATTCTCATACCAACAACAGCCCTGAAGGAGTTGAAACACTTTAATTTCTCGCATTTTTGATACTAAATATAAGTATATAAGATTTTATACATTTTGTTTGTGAATCCAAACCTTGATAAAGCTTATTTCTTTGTGCGATAGAGCTCCACTGTTAAATAAAATGGATATGGTAACATTTCAATAAACCACATTCATAGATTAATGTGTTGTGTGGCATGCCATCCATTGTAGCTGTGGCATGGTTATTCATTACCACCACATTCACTCTAGTTTATTTTGAATCAATCTCACACAGACCTTCCTGCTGCCATAAATACTCACTATAACACCACATGTGTTATCCGTGGCTGAAAATAGTCCCAAACAAATGCAGTATTTACTCCTGGCTGAGTAATGTTTGCTACCAACTACAGTGACCAACTGTTTGGGGAGATTATTTATCCTCTGGAAAAAAAAAGAAAGTATATATTTGTGACCCTTTATTTAAGATTCTCATGGGAGTTTTGACAATAAAAAAAATACAGAAGGAATGTAAGCAATGTGACGTCATATGTAATGATGACAGGGAGTCTCCGTTCTTTAAAAACCATCAGATGTCCAGGCTCTTTCTAAACAAAAGCTTTGGAAAATAAAAGAACTGAAAGAAAAACATCTGCAAACTGTAAAGAGGTGAACAGCTAAAGACATTATGAGGAGGAAGCGGAGAGAAAGAAGAGGCTGAGTTTACCGGAGAGGATGAGGAGCTCGGTGATCTCGGCATCACCCAGGAAGGCCGCTGCGTGCAGCGGAGTGCGCTTCTCTGTATCCTGGAGGAGGAAGTCAGTCAGTTGGTACTCGCTTGTAATAACATGGAGACACAGTCAGGTTTCAAGCTTGACCAGCAGCTGCTCTGAAGGTACTGAGGTTTAGGAGTGGGGCTGGGAAGAAGCTTTTATTGCTTTTATCATTTATTATGATTATTTATTTATCCTTTATTTGAGTAAAAGTAGCAATAGCAGTGTAGAAATACTCTGTTACAAAGTCCTGCATTAAAAATTTTACTTTCGAAAAGAACATCTAGTATCAGCATCATAATATTATATTATTGGATTGTTATTTTTAATATGTTAAAAAGTGTATATCACTGTAATAATTTTAAAGCTGGTAAAGCTGGTGGTAATTTAAATTACTTTATATACTGCTGCGTAGCTTGTGGATGATTTTCCCCCAGAATCAATTAAGTATTATCTTATGTTAACCTCTAATAAAACATCATAATTTATTAGTTTATTATAGTTTATATTATTAGCCTACGTCTCTAAAAATAAATGTAGTGTAGAAAGTAGAATATTTATCCTGAAAGTTTTACCAATACCTAAAGCAAACCACTTAAAGACTCCCCCATTTTCAAACATTTTTCCTACAATAAGCTACAAACTCAAATGAAAGACAACTCAGGAGCATATCAGGCAAGATATGAATGGAAAGGTTAACATCGAAAAAACATCGCATTCGGTACCAATTCAAAAACATATTGAGGTTCCAGATAAACGTCTGCAAAGCACTGCAGAGTCCGGCGCTCTCACACACACAGCTGTCTGGGATGTTACATGTTAGTAATCCATGAGTACAAGAGGCCGAAACAGTGGAGGCTGTGATATCAGCTCAGAGATGATGAGCTGAGGATCAGTGACAGGACTGTCAGTGTCAACACGGCCATTGTTCCTCTCAGTGACCACACACACACTCATTCTCATTTTTGTCCCTTGTGGGGTCCACCAGTTGTTTGATGACTTGTGAGGACCAACTGTTCTAGTGGTAAAACATGGCTGAAAAAGAGTCAAGTAAGATGACGATAATTCAAATTAATTATCTAAACGCCTGTTGTACCAAATCAGTTTTTTGGCCACTAGCGAGGACACCCCCTGTTTTCAGCACTTGTGGGGGCCCGCCTTAATGGTCCATGAACTTGGACGACTCGTATCCCAATTACCATTTACGAATAATAAAATAATTTAAAATATGAGAAACGACAAAACAAACCATTATCTGTTTTTTCTTGATGTGATTATAAATGGAAATTTGGAACTGAAATGCCTGTGTGGAAATCATCTTTCTCAATTGTGCGTTTGTTTTTTTTGGTGTGACCCGGAAGTTGTAAATAGTATTTATGGTGAACTGCAACTAATGTTCCTGACTTCCTCGTACGCTGCAAGTGGCATAACTATTTACAACTTCACACCAAATGACACACCAAAAAAAAAAAAAAACTAATCAACACAAAATTGAGAAAGATGATTTCAACACAGGTATTTCAATTCACGATTTCCATTTATAAATCACATCAAGAAAAAATACATAACAGTTCGTTTGGTCGTTTTCCGTTTTTTATTATCAAAACAAAAAATGGGAAATGGGTAATTTTGTTTTTTGTTTCCCTATTTCTATACGATAATCGGGGAAACAAGCTGTTTCCATTCATCGGCTGCCAAGCACACACACCGTTAACATACACTGCTCTAGCTTTCAGCACCTGTGGGGTCCTCTTTCACACACATCTTGTTTTTAATATTTGTTAAGTCCACCTTCACACGCACACACACATCTGTTTTTAATGATCGTGGGGTCCACCTTCTCATTACTTGTGAGGTCCTTCTTGATACACTTCTTGTTTTCAGCACCTGTGGGGTCCCCCTTCACACAGTACTAGTTTGTAATACTTGTGAGGACCACACACACATACACACATACAGAGAATTTCAATGACCACCCTACATGTCCATGAGACCGGGCTGAGTGCAGCCTCTCCAACAAAAACACATCTAAAGTGGACAATGACGCTGACATGGGAGCATTCAACACAGGAAATCCATACGAATACATCAGAGGTTAGCAGGACAGCAGACCAGTCCACATGATGCGCTGCCCCGGTGCAAACATGTGTTATAAATCTGTACCCACATGAGCCGATGTAAATAAACAAATGCTCTGAACTTTTGCTTTACTGACTCCTGACCTGCGGCCCCTCCTCCCCTCACCCTTGGATACTGGCCTCTACCGGAAGTGGGGGCTGAAGCTGGAGCTTCAGCTTCCTAACAGCTGATTCTGAGCTCAGACACGGGCGGAAAATACCAACTTTTAATCTGCAAATTGACCCGGATCTGCATCATAATATATACGATGCTGAGTTTTAATGAATACCTCAATCCTAATAATGTGAAAATTATAAATGATGGAAAGCCAATGGAAATGGTCTGATAGATTTCTATCAAACTAAGAAAGGGACTTTGCTTGTTCACATCACAGTTCAGGAGTTCAAGAGCTGTGTGACCTCACCAGAGCATTGATGTCTTCAGACTTGTATATGAGCATGCGGATCTCCTCAGGGTCTCCACTGAAGATCGCCTGGATGAGAGGAGGCTGGGGAGAAAGAGAGGAGAGAGCGGAGAGAGACATTCAGCAACACATGACCAGAGGCGACATGTCATAACACGCAAGTGCACATGATCAATTTAAACAGTCAGTGAACGGATCAAAGCAAAATGACGTGACGAAACGACATTTTAGGGGGAATATTTCCTGGACGTTACACAAGAGGAGACCGAGAGTGATCCTTCCCACGATATGGAAAACTGACTCTGTGTGTGTGTGTGTGTGTGTGTGTGTGTGTGTGTGTGTGTGTGTAGGAACAGCTGCTTGACTTTAAGCTGCTGTGTTTATAAAAGATGGAGTGAAGAGGGCTACTATGAGCATGAAGGGACTATGAGAAAATGGGTCCTGGGCACATACATAGTGACTGACTGTGGTTGCTTTGCATCTATATTAAGTTGTTTTACCTCTCTTTGTGCTCATTTGGCATCCCTTTCATTCATTTTGTGTCTCATTGTGGGTGTTTTGTGTGTATTTGTGGGAGTTTTGAGTCAATATTTAGTTTTAATGTGTCTCTTCATGGTCTTTTTACATCTCTTTGTGGATGTTTTGTGTCTCTTTGTGCTCATTTGGCATCCCTTTTTGTCTTTTTGCATCTCTTTATGCGTGTTTTGTGTCTCTTTGTGGTCTTTTTGTGTATCTTTTTAGTTGTTTTGCATCTTTGTGATTATTTTGCATCTATTTTTACCCATTTTTTTTGTCTTTGTAGTCATATTGTGTCTAATCTTACTTGTATTGTGCTCATTTTGCATCCCTTTGTGGGTGTTTTGAGTTTTCTTTTAATTGCTTGCGTCTCTTGACAGTCACTTGATTGGCACTTCATACAGAGTCTCTGGACCAGAGACTTTCTGATCCCTTGGACCCTTGGAGCTACAAGACTCTAATCTACACTGTATACAAAAGTGTTCTTCATTATCAAGAGGATGTTTTAAAACTTGGCTCACTTCATACATGACTGACGAATCTGTTGCCAAACAGAGAAACTATTGTTGTAGAAAATCCTTTGTAGATACAGATCACAAAATAAAACGTCTGTGCGGAGAGGAAGCTTTAATGAAGGGCATTGTGTTGGAGGTCGTGTCTCTGAAGCCCTTATTTTCTTTCATGGATCACAGATACGAGGTAAATAGAGGCTCTAGAAACACACACAGCAGTTAAGAGGTTTTGAGGAACGGAGGCAGTGCAGCTCGACATGAGGGTCGCCAACAACATGTCAGTGACTTAAAGGACCACACAAGCAAACATCATGTGGACTTTATATTAAAGCTCACAATGTTTAAGTGTTTTGAATTAGTTTTTCCAGGCAATCGCAGATTTTCATTCAATTCTGACTGAAATGAAAATCAGAAAGCAGATGTTTGAAACTTGCATCACCCATTACAGCTGCTTCATTAAAGTGTGATATATTAGTGTATGTTTCAGTGGGCAGTTCTGAGTAGCACACCAGTGCTGGAGTTTGGCATTTGGTCTCTCTCTTTTTAACAAAACATAAACTGGTAATTGATTTTAAAACAATATAGAACTTAACATCTGGCAGTGAGTAGCGCTGGATGATACAACTGAAAATGCTTTCAAGGTATCATTAAGGATATTTTCGGAAATCAATTTATATCACGTCACTGCAAATGCATCGCATGAGTGTGAGGCTGCAAATAAGAATTACTTTCATTATCGATTCATCTGCTGATTGGTTTGTCAATGTTTAACTTCCCACAGCTCAAGCTGACGTCTTTAAATGTGTCGCTTTGTCCGACCATCAGTCCAAAACTGAAAGATGTTCAGTTCAGTGTCATGTACGACAATAAAAGGATAAAATCCTCACATTTGAGAAACTGGAAATGACTGAATGAATAGTACAATCATATCATCACAATACAATTTTAATTTAATCAAAGATCATATTGAGTTATTCCGCTGCTTTATCAAAAAGGCTTTAAAACACATGATTTACAAAATGTCCAGCTGTCATGTAAAGTGCGTAGTGAATAGTAAACGGGAGAAAACATGCAAAAAAATCACTGCTATGGTCTTTTAACACCAACTGATCATCTATATTGATTATTTCAACATAAACTGTTAATGTCAGAGCCTCTCCAGAGACATCAAAGCAGGCTGTAGGTTACATGTGCTACTGATTAATCACATTAAGCAGCGGCAGACCTCACTTCACTTCCTGTGTGTTTCTGCCACCTCCTGCCTCACTTCCTGTTGCACAGTCTCTCCTTCTGAGAAACAAGAGAGAGGAACCGCAGAGCAGCGTTTCACTTCTGCTTTAAAAAACAGAGAACAAAATGATACCACTTCCTCATCTGAACTTTTTTTCTCCCTTTGAATTTAACTTTAATGCCACATCATCACATCATCTCACTCCTAGGTAACCATTGAGGCAGGCAGGTGTTGTTTCAGATATTTGTCTCTGGATTTTGCTACCGATACTATTTTTATAACTTTCTTCCCTCAGTGTGAAACTTTTGCTCCACAAAAACACTTTTTCTTTATTTCATAAAACAAGATGAAGTGTTGTTTCATGTTGTCTTAGTTTTGCTTGTGTAAAATATAAAATAAGCAAATTTGTCTGACCGAGGAAAAAACACGACTGGGTATTATTTCAAACTTGGAGTTACTCCTCCCTGCCAAGAAATAGTCCGATATATAACCACCGTAAAATGTTAAATTGTCAATTTGACATTTTATTTGTGTACAGAATAAAGTATTAATCAATTAGCTTTAGAGGTGATAGTAGGCAGATTGTCTTGCCTTTGGAAAGAGCCAAGTTAGCTGTTCCCCCTTCTTCCAGTCTTTTAACTAAGCTAAACTAAGATAAGCTAAAATAAGATAAGATAAGCTACTAAGCTTAAGCTAACTTTGATTAAAGGGATAGTTTTTTGGGATATACACTTTACTGGTTTGTTTCTGAGAGTTGGGTGAGAAGATTGACACCACACTCGTGTCTATACGGTAAATATCATACTGGAGACATGCAGGAGGTTAGCTTAGCTTAGCATAGAGACTGGAAACAAGGGGAAAACATTAGCTTGGTTCTGTTCAAAGGTCAAAAACATTTCTCCAAACTCTTCTAAAGTTCACTAATTAACGCTGTCACTCCAAGAGCAAACAGTAATGTAAAAACAACCTAATGTTACATAAGTGAAGGTAGTCTGTGTGAATATGGAAGATATTCATTAAATAAAATTATCGTCCGACCTCCACTGTTTGGATGTGAAAGTGCAGAGTGGAGCAGCTACTGTATTTAATTGAACCCAGCAAGACATACTTGCTAATTTATTATTTAAATCATCACAAGATCACACGATTCCTCACATTCTTATCAGAAGAAATGCAACTTTTAATAAAAGTTGGAGACACATCGTACCGTAAAAGTGCCAGGAAACATAAGAGAGTAGAAAACTGGCAAAAGATTTGAGGGGAAGCAGCTGCCCAGAATGAGATTGAATCATGATTTAATAATAAAAGCAATTTAGGAAAGTAAAATTGACTTTTGTTGAAGGTTTGAAGTTCTGTAGATTATTAGTTTTACTTTAATGGGATTTAATGGCTGTATTTTCAATATATATATATATCAGGTTCTACAGGATCTGCTGGACCTAATTTCTTGGCAAAGGTTCCTAAAAAGACAAATCCTTCGCATACACTAGAGGACACAGTACAGTTTACAAGTAGGTGCCAATGTACGGAGGCTTGTCTTCTTCCACCTACAGCCCACATTCATCCACAGTTGGTCATTTCATCGATATATATTAATAGAAATAACAAATTGTGACATACACTTCCCGAGGATATTGTTATGGTCAAGAATAAACCTCCATAAATCCACAGCTGTCTGTACATCCATGGGCACACTGCAAACAGGAGCTGCTAATAGCTAATTCTGCTCACTTTTAATGAGGACAATTTGCCAAAATGTGCACAAATATAGGTTAACAGTTAAGCTACTAAGCCTGTATGTTGGTGTTTGCATGTTTATGTGTATCTGATTAGGTAATTGTAGGTAATCGAAGCTGTAATTGTAACTTGGGTGAAGGTAGGTGGGTCAGAAATCACAAACTTCCACCTATTCTCGCAAGGAGAATTAATTCAATGCCACTTAACGAAGCTGAAAGCGTCAGCAAAGAGGAATTACATGGGGGGGGGGGGGCACGAGAGAGGGAAGGATGATTGAGGAAGCGACTGTCCCGTCTTCTCTCACCATTTTCTCCCTGGTGATCAACCAGCAAACACCTTTTTATTCAAGTTCAGAGCCAGAACGTTCAGTAGCGACTCAGGTTTAATCTGTGTTTACTTGAGCACAGCTGATAACAGAGGGAAAGAGGAAGGACACATTTAAGGGTAAGAGAGTAGTGGACGAGGTCCCAGCTGTAGGGAGAGAGAGAGAGAGGAGAGGGGGGGGGGCTGTGGCTTTAAAGAAGCAGCCAACACATGGCAGCATATGGCCTCTTTAGCTATGCCTTTCTCTCTAAGTGCTCACACACACACACACACACACACACACACATTACTGCAAGTCTAGACGTACAAAAACACACACACACACACACACACTCAGTTGGCATCAGCCCCTTGTCACAGTGCTGTGTCTGTGATCACCACGGGGAGCTGGGGAGACTGGTGCTGGCACAAGAAAGAGAAGGAGATTTAGGGAATAAGTGAGAGTGTTTGTGCAGCGCCTTTAAAAGCATGAATTACAACACTCCCTCCAACACATACCAGCACCCACGCTCCAACCAAGACTGGATTAGTGAAGCCCATATAAATAGTGGAACAATACAAATCTGATAGCAACTTATCAGGCAATATTTGTTTGGCAATGATCCATCAGATTTGTTTTTGAAAGACCTTTAAAGACAAGATAAAAAATATGCTTGAGAAGTAAACTTCAATAAACTTAGGTTACTAAATACTAACTATAAAAAAACTATAAACCTAAATCAACAAATAATAAACACACATCTGCTTACATACATGTCAATAAA